TTGTGTGTGGTTGTGTGTGTGTGTGAGTGTGTGTGTGTGTGTGTAGATGCTGTGCTTGATCTTATGTCAACTTGGCATAAGCTAGAGTCATTGCAGGAGAGAGTAAGGGAATTCCCCCACTAGGCTGTCCTGTGGGCAAGCCTGTGGTACACTATCTTGACTGACAGTTGATGGTGTTGCTTGTTCAAGCAGGGATCAGCACAGCCATCTTGGACATCCACTACAAGACGGTAAGGTGTGACTGATCAGATGAAGGAAGTGATGTTATGTAACACCCACAGCCTCTAAGCATCAGAAGTGCTAGTAACAAGGACTTTCCATACACCCTGCAGCCACCCTTACTCTGGAGAAACAGGGGACCCACTTATCCTCACATCGTCCATGATGTCTGCCTCACACTAAAGACCAGCAACACATTGCATGTTTATACTGTTTTTAATGCTCAAAAGCTCTGTACAAAAACAAAACAAAAAAACATAAAGGATTCCTCACAACATCCCTGTGAGGTAGGTAGGCAAGTATTTTTCTCCCATTTTACAGATGGGGAAACTGAGGCAGAGAGGTAAAGTGATCCACCAGTGGTCCCAGCATATCTCCAAGTCAGTGCCAACCGTGGGAGTGTGAAGTGTCCCTCTCTGGCCTCTGATTCCTTGGCTACTTATCTGAAAAGAACTGACATGCATGAAGCAGACACCAGCAAACCTGAGAAGCTGTGAACAGACATACAGCAGCTTGCAAAAGAAGTCGGCTAAGAGGGTCACTACTTCCCCAGGCTGGAAACAACTTTGGCCTCTTCAAATATCACAGCTAACAGCTGACAGGTCCCTCCGTCATCATGCTGAAGGACAGGAGCCCAGAGACTCATCCCAAAGAGTCACACAGGCTCCCAGACTCCCAGGTGTGCGACTGCTGGATGCTCCAAAGTGCAGTCCCAGCCAAGGCTCACCAGACACAGACCTCTATGCTCACCTTCCTACTGTGTGAACAAAACTGCTCATAACTCAGCAGTGTCCCAGGGATCCTGGCAAGGGTGGGCCTGGAATCTGAAGCCTGACAAGCCACCACGGCCCTGCCTGTCTCACCCCTCACTGTTCGTGAGTCTCCTAAGAGTCACTCTTGATCCTGCCAATGGGTTTCCGACACACAGGTTCCCTCCTCACTGCCTCACTGGCCTCCACAAGCTCTTTCCCCACACTGGAAGGGTCTCGCTGATGTTCCCAACTCGCTGGGACCCTCCACTTCTGCAAGCCTAGGGAAGGGAGGAGAGAAAGGAAAGGAGGAGAGACGGAGCCATCCTCATAGTCTTCCAGGCTGGCAACATTCACGACCCAGGAGGAGCTGGGCAGAGCTGCCTTTAACATGGACCTGCCCAGCTTGCTATCCCCCTCACCTACCTCAGGCAGCTGCTTAAGCTGAACAAGTGAGAAGCAAGAGCAAGCCAGCCAGAGGAAGGACGTGAAACAATGAACATGGCCAGCCTGCTGCCCACCTAGGCAGTCTGATGACCATCAGTGAGAAAAGGACAGTGGTGGTGGCTGGCTGTGTGGGGAGTGAGCTTCCTAAAGGCTGTTCACCTGCTGGTCTGTGAGGTACACATGCTGGGTCTTGCCAGAGGCCATTACACACCCCAAGGGTTTACAGAGAATGGCTGTGCCGTCCACACATTCCACAAAATCCTCTTTCCAAAGGCTCTTAGCCCCTCGGTCTCTCCAGGAAGCTGGCAAGTGTTCGTCGGAAGCAATGAGAACCTCAGGCCTGCAGCCTGTCTGGCAAGGAGCAAGAAGGCGGCCTACAGGAAGTCCCCAGCATCACAGGGCTCTGGGTCTTGGCTCTGCTCCTGCCAGCGGTGGCGGAGCCCTGACAGGGGCTGGTCCTCCATGCTTTCCAGCTCAGAGAAGCCCAGCTGGTTGAGGATCTCGTAGATGCCAGCTTTGGTTGCCACCTGGAGAGGGCAGAGATCGGGCAGAACTTCAGAGCAGTGAAGTATCATTGGGCTTACACTCCTCATATCACACCCCACCCCTTTGCTGAGCTCTAAGACACAGGGGTGAGTCTGAGAGCTGCCCTCAGGCAGTTCAGCGGCTACCACAAGTTTGTGTGTCATCTCTAACCATCTTGTTAAGAGGGTCACTGACAGTCTCTCTCCTGGGACTGTGCAAATACACAGCATGCTTGAGAGACCTCGGCAGCACTGGCTCAGCTACTCCAGCAAAGCACATTTGGGCAAAGAGGCTACAGAAGTGGTGTGGATGCCAGAGCAGACATCCGCCCTTCTCTTTGCCTGGGAGTTCAGCCCAAGAAGCTTGGCTCTCTCTGCGCTGAACACTCAACCGAGAGCTGGTGGCCCAGTAGCCTGGCCCTTGGCCCCAGGCTCCAACCATCCCCTACACCTTCTTGGGGAGTTGTCCCCAAGAACAACTCCACCTGGAGTAAAGAGATGGTGCTGTCCCCTCTTGCTGTCCCCAGGCACCCTTGCCCTAGCCTCTGTCCCGAAGAGGGGCTGAAACTGACTGAGTTAGTCACGCTTCTGCCTAAACCAGTAGCTTTCCCTGGATATTCTTCCACATCCAGCCCTAGAAGCAGCTGGGGAACCAAACAAGGTACCCCAGCCCTTGGTTTCCCTGTTTAAGCAAAACTCAAGCAGAAAGTATCCTTGTCGCCAAGGTGGGGATGTAGCTTCTGGTAGGGTGCTTACCTGGCAAGCAGGAAGCCCTTGGGTTTGGGCCCCAGCAATCTATAAACCAACTTGGTATGGTGGTAAACCCCTGTAATCCCAGGAAGATCAGAAGGTCAATGTCATCCTCACCTACACAGTGAGTTTGAGGCCAGCCTGGGTCACATGAGACCCTCCCACCTACATTCCACTCCGGGACTCAAAGAGGGAAGCCACGCTTGGGCCTGCTCACCAAGGTGGTCTCAACATGGCTCTCAACATCTTCTGACTCAACACTCACCCTCAAGCACAAAGACTCGTTTCATATGCTTCCCCACATTGACACCTAAGAGCAGCCCCCCAAGGCACATCCCCTGCAGCCTTTACTCCACATCCCTGCCTGCTCCCTGGGGTTCTGAACATGCCTCCATCCAGGCCTGAGCCCCTGCACCTGTCCTATATCCACTCTGACAGAGTTCCTGGTTCCTGATCTCCACCCACTGGCAATCCTGGTAGTTAACCGTGGACTTGAATTCAGATCAGAATGGCTGATGGATGGTGAGGTCAACAGGGCCAGCTTCCTGGCTGAGGGGTAATTACAGGCTTCTTTCCTCTCTCTCCCTCTTGACCAGCAGGTGCCAAGTGGGATTGGAAGTCCAAGTAAAGAAAGATCATAGGGCCCCAAGAAGAGTGAAGCCAACAACCTGTTCCCATGACAACCATAAAGAAGTCCTGAACCTCTGCAAGACCCCTCTTACCTAAAGCATACTTGGATCTTGCCAGGTACACGTATGTCACAAGTCCCCACCGCCTTCCCAGACGACACCAACACTATTGCCACTATTCTAGTACTGAGGACAGCCAACTTACAAGACTGGCCAACTCATCCAAGGTCATGGGTGGGAGGAGACAGGATCAGGACAAACAACCTTGCCCTTGGCCTTCATAAAGCACAGAAGGTAGCTGAGCAGAATAATAGACCAAAGTGTCCAGGCGTCCAGGCAGTGCTGGCCATGAGACACACAGAGCAAGCTCCTAGCTGGCAGCTGCCCTTCTCACCCCCATCTCTCCCTCTTTTATCCATTCATTGACTCAGCTGTCACACTGCCCAGCTATCTGCCTGGTGAGACACTATGCAAAGGACACGAGGGCTGAATGGGGGGGACACAATCTCCCGGGAGAGTAGGCCTCTCCCCATTCCAAGGGGGAAGCCTGTCACCTGGGTCCTTACAGAGTGTACTCAGGGACCAGGGGGAAAGATACAGCCCGCCTTACCCATCACCCCCAAGCAGGCCTGTCGGTCTCACCTCCCGCATCCAGGTGCTGAAGGGTGTCTGCCAGGAGCCAGCCTTCTCCAGGCGGAGGTAGGCATTAAAGAGGACCAGGTAGATGTAGCGTTCCAGGTACTGCAAGCTTCGCAGCTGCAATCTCCGAGCCTCCTGTGCCTCTTTGGTGGCCTTTGCCTGGAGGACAAGGAGGATGGTGTCAGCAAGGAGACCTGTTGTTTAACACAACCTACACGCTCACTCAAATGCCTGAGCATCCAGCAGAGTGACTTCAGTGGCAGAGCCTGGGGTACTGCCTGGCTTGGCCACAGAGGAGACACATGGGGAACCAGTTCCTGGATGAGTCTCAAACCCATTTCCTACTAAGAAGAAAGGCCTCTACTTCCTCCCAAAATCGGGCTATCTGCTGAAAAGCTAGGGAACATCCAAAGTATAGAGGGTGAGATGTCCAGCCTGGGGTCTCCTAGCGAGGACCCTGTTGCCAGTTCCTGTCAACATGGTCCCCAGTCCTCTCCCAAGCCCTGAGCATCCCTGTGGAGACATGTGGAGCTCTGATCACAGCCTAGCAGGGGGCCAATGGCATAGAGCTCTGACTGAGGCAGCCTCTAGCCCCAGGTGGGACCTCTCACTTTAGCGAGTTCCCGCCAGGTCTTCCCTGGATGGCAAAGCTGGTGGGTGGGAAGTTCCCTAGGGAAGATGGGAGTCTGGATGGGCAGAGAGGACCTCATGGGCCTGACAGTGAGAATGTGCACCAGTGGGGACAGCGACAAGGTAAGTGACAGTGACAAGCATGTGTGGGGGCTGTGGTCTGCTAGCCTGGGAGGAAAGAGAATGCCACCAGTGTCACAGAGGACATCAATCCCACCCGTGGGGTTCACAGCCTCACTGCTCTTGAGAAGCACATGGAAACCTTAAAATGCAAACACCTGGGTTCATCCCAGATCAGCCAATGAGGGTCTCAGAGGGTTGGGGTGTGGGCACTGGGGTTACTAAGGGCCAAGGTTGGGCGCCGTGGGATTCAGTATTGGAAGTCACTGAAGGTTTGGTAGTGCCAGTAGCCTGTTGGAGGAAGACACTGTGGAAGACACGTGTGCAAGAGAAAGGGGACACTTAAAAAGGTTCCCCACGGCAGGGATACGTGCCAGGGACACTCATAAGATCTGGGATACGCAGCCAGCCTCTCTGTAGGGTGGTCTGCCTCCATATCCCAGTCTCCTCCTCTACCCACCATGGATGTGCTGCCCACACGGCTATGGGAAGGAGTCCCAGAGGGAGAAGGCCACCCAGACCTGTAGTATCTGATCTTCACACCCTCGGGCCTCCACCCAGGCCCACTGCAGCTCTCTGATCCAGAAAAAAAAAAAAAAAAAAAAAGTGTAGCATGAGATGCCCTTGAAGTGACAGCACTGTCTGTGGGAGGGCACAGCGAGCCCCAAGGGGCCAGGGAGGGCTGCTCTCCCAACAGCTGGGCCACAGATGGAAACCCTTCCATGAACACACACAGTGCTGGCCTACATACTCTGGGAAAACTCCAGGGTCGACATGACACGGCCCAGTGCCCTAAAACTCACAACTGGAGAGGGCCAGCCCAGCACCAATTGAGCTTTGAGAGCATATGAGGGGACGTAACCAGCAAAGCTGGAGATCCTAGGGAGGGCAGCAGGGGAGAAAGCGGTACCAGGAAGGGCTCGAGGACAGGGGCAGTGCCTGGATTCCTAAGAGAAAGAGAGAGAGAGAGAGAGGGTCGCAAGATGGCTGCCGTTAGCCTCCAGCCTCCACATCTCAGTGAGAAGTCATGTGTAACCCACACTGCCACAAGTACTGACTAAACAGGCCTGAAGCCACAAAGGTGAGTCCCACCTGCCCTGCCCTCTTGGAGGCTCCAGAGGCTACAAAGCAGCCAGGTGGCTGTGTCAAGAGAGGAGGGGGAAGGGCAATAAGAGGAAAATGACGAGCAAGGTGGGTGAGGAAGAAGAGTTAGCAGGCACCAGGGAGGTGGGCTGGGGTCAGGAAGGAAGTGTGTCCTCAGGGTAGAAAAGGGGGCAGCTTGGACAGTTGGGTTAGCAACAGGGGGAAGGTAGGCTGGTTAGTTTTGATTGTTGTGGGCTCAACACAACATAGAATCACCTGAAAGGGGGCCTCAGGAAGGAAGATTGTCTAGATTAGGTTGGCCCGTGGCCATCCACGTGAGGAAATTTATTTATTTATTTCTCTCCCTCTTTCTTTTTAAAGCTTTATTATGGATACAGTATTCTGCCTGCATGCATGACTGCAGACCAGAAGAGGGCACCAGATCTCATCACAGATGGTTGTGAGCCACCAAGTGGTTGCTGGGAATTGAACTCAGGACCTTTGGAAAAGCAGTCAGTGTCCTTAAGCGATGAGCCACCTCTCCAGCCTGAGAAAATTTCTTCACTGAGCTTTAACTGAGGTGGGGAAACCCACTCTGAATGTTGGTGGCGCCATATCACGGGCTAGGCCCTGGAATGAATGAAGGGGAGCAAGAACGGGCAGAGCACTGGCATGTATTAATTCGATGCTCTCTTGGTCTTGACTGTGGGTGTGATGGTACTGGCTGCTTGACTCCCCACAGTGGAGGACTGTATCCTGGAACTGGGAGCCAATCAGAGCCTTTCTCCCTTAAGTCCCTTTGTCAGGGTGTCTCATCACAGAGACAAGATGATAAGCCAAGGCAAGGGTTCAGAGCTTCAGCGAAAACGAGACATTGAGGGACGGTCCTACAGACCAAGGGCCAGAACAGCTGCCTCTAGAAGAGCACACAGGGCAGGGGAAGTAGGCTGCATACTATTTTAAATATTAACATCGTATGCTCCCAAAAATCAATTTTGCTTATAGGCAGCGAATGTTAGGGAAAAGAAAATACAGTTTACGTAAATGTAAAGCATATGGTCAACACAGTGACACCCTGATTGTCTCACAGGATAGTGAGCTGGTAGCCCCCATCCCTCAGTCTGCCTCTCCTCTCTCAGTCACCTGGACCTGTAAGTGTTTTCCAGGTGACCCACAGTGCTCCTTGCAAAAGCCATTTTAAATTGCTTCCAACCAAGGCTCAGGAGAAATGCCTGCTCTCACCTGGCCACAGCCATACCATACCAGCACTGTCCCAAGACACCAGCAAGAATGAGGTCTGAGGTACATCCGGCAAAGGGCAGAGGGAGTCTTTCTCTTTACCACTAAGGGTAGAATTATCTCTAAATTCAGACACTGTGTGAAGATGTTGCCTGACACCCCCAGAGGTTCCTATGGATACATCCTGCCTCTGGCCACAGGGCTGTGATTTGAGACAATAGCCCATCTGCCTGTCACAGCCCAGTTTCCTTAAAAGCACTCCATGCTGGCACAGTTCCGGGAAGGGGCACCCAGCCACCTCCAGTGCATAAAAATAGCCAAGCTGTTTTTAAATGGTCCAGCAGGCCAGGCTGTCATTAGTTGCCATGAAGCTGGACAAAGGCTTCTTGGACCCTTGGGAATGAAACCTAAAATAAAAGGGAGCCCAGGAGAGATGTCAGGCCTGCAGGGACCACAGGCTTCACCTCTGGCCTGTCTAGCATGGATGTAGGTCTAGCTCTGTCTGGGAGATCTTTGCGGGGCCACCAAGAGTAAACATGAGGCTGACCATCTACTCTATTCCTTCTGCCATCCCCTAACCAACTGCTCCCAGCCACCCCATCCCAACGACAGTCCCTGCCTGGGTTACATCCATGCCCCAAGGTCCTTTCCATCATTGGAGAAAAATGGTTTGTCCCAGTAGACTAAGAACCAGAAGGGACGCAGACAGGTTTTCCTATTTATGCAAGTATTTATTCCACCTGCCATCTACTGCCCACTCACTAAATAGATTCTGCAGAACCTGCTGTGTCCGACAGGGTCCTGGGAGCTGGGCTGTGGAAGTGGGCCTATGAAATGAACCAAGCACTCCCCTGAGAGTGAGAGCTCCAAGCAGAGGCTGGTCTCTGTGAGATGATACCAGGGCCAGGAAATGCTGGAATTGACCCTGGGACCCCGCTAAGCCCAGTGGTACACACAGACCACGCCAGGCACAGCATGAAAGTCCCTTGTAAAGCCAAAAGGTTTCCAGCCCAGCCAGCAGCCATGGGAAAGAAGGGAGATGAGGATCAGCTGCTGACAGGGGCCCTACATACACAACGAAAACATACTCATGGAACACGTGCTCACACTCACAAGCACGCGCACACACACACTACTCACCAGCTGCACCAATTCACTGGCTCTATTCTGAGCTGGCCGTGAAGAGCCTGAGGAAGTGGCCCTTCCTCCTGTCACATCTTATATGACAGCTTATGACATTGTGAGGCTACTCTAATTACAGGGATGGGCCCTGGAGACTCACTTCCTACTGGAATGAGGTCTCCAGGGACAGTGTGGCCTGACTCTTAGAGAGGCCAAGATCCACCAGGGCTTAGTGCCTGAGCCTGAACTGTTTCACTTTCTGTCTTTCTTAAGGAATTACCTTAGACCTTGGGGCACTGACTTGATCTCTCTGCCTCCTGGCAGCTCCTGTTCCTATTCCACATAACCAAGACAATGCGCACGGTAGCAGCCATAAGCTTCCTCCATAACCCTTCCTCTTTCTGATACCATGAAATTGTCCCCTGGGTCCTGAGTACCACCACAGAGAGGAAGGAAGATAGGACAAAGTAGGAGATAAAGTTCTGGTCCTATTTCCAGCCAGGTACCAATCTTCCTCGGGCCTCAGTTTCTTCCTCAGTAAAATGGGTCTAATAAAACCTGCCCTAAGCCAGGCGTTGGTGGCGCACGCTTTTAATCCCAGCACTCGGGAGGCAGAGGCAGCTGGACCTCTGTGAGTTCAAGGCCAGCCTGGTCTCCAGAGCGAGTGCCAGGATAGGCTCCAAAGCTACACAGAGAAACCCTGTCCCGAAAAAAAAAAAAAAAAAAAAAAACTGCCCTGACTTCCTTACCTCTCGGAGGACGGAATGGACAAGTTCTACATTCTCGGGAAACTCAGTCAAATTAGTGTGGTCTCTGTAAAGTATCCTGTGGAGAGAGCAAAGGGCAGCTTCAGCCACCCCTGCCTCAGCTTTTTCTCAAACTCTTGCTGGATGGAAGACAGAAGGCACAGTAGACTGTTTCAAATACAGAACATAAGAACGGCAGCTGTGCCAGGTGGTGGTGGC